TGGACAGATATAACATTTAAAACACTCCCAAGTGCCTTCAAAGTATTCCAAGAAGTGCAAGGAAGGACTTCCTATTACATTTTTACCCTCCCTCCAGGGTTTCCCTGAAAGGGAATGGATTTTTTTTTTTTTTTAATTTTGGTTTGTGGATTTTTTTTGGCTTAATCTATCTACCTGTATGCATTTGAGCCCCATTCAGGAAGACATTGCTATTTATGACAGCAATGTCATGTATGCCTAATTCCCAGTAAAGTCAACAGATTGCAACTACATGCTTAAGTGTACCTTACTGAATCAGGGCCCTTACTCCATAGTATCTGACTGACTGTTTGTTGGCCTCTTGGAGACAAAAGCCCAGAAGGGAAGGATTAGGTGATAAGTAGGTAATTAGGATTATGGAGACTTGGTGAGATAGTTCATAGGATTGGAGTACCATCATAGATGGGTATAACTTGTTCAGGAAGGACAGTTACGGGAGGGAAAGGAGGTGTTGTTCTATATATAAAGGAGATGTATGCATGTTCTCAGGTGCAGTACAGAGTGGAAGGCAGGCATGTTGAAAGCCTTTCGGTAAAGGGCAAGGGAGAGAACAGCCAGGGGATGTCATGGTGGGCTTCTGCTGTAGGCCACCAAACCAGAAGGAAAAGGTGGACAACTGATGGAAGTTTCTAGATCACAGTATCTGGTTCTCATGTGGGACTTAATATGATGACATCTGCTGGGAAGAAAACACAGAAGTATGCTGGCAGTCCAGCAGATCCTTGGAGTGTGTTGAAAATAACTTTTTGGTATAAGTGGAGAGTCCAACCAGGAGGCAGGCTCTTTGTAACTTGCTGCTCATAAGTAGAAAATAATTGGTTGAGAATGTGAAGGTGGAAGGTAATTTGTGTGACAGTTACCACAAAATTATAGAGTTCAAGATCTGAATGGAAGGAAGGACTTCCAAAAAAACCAAACCTTAACACACTCAGGGGACTGGTAAGATTTCCTGTGAGGCAAATCTGAAGGGAAAAGAAACCCAAAAAAGGAAGCTCTACTTTAAGAAGGCCATATTAAGGGTGCAGGAACAAGATATCCCAATGCAACAGAAGAATGGAAAGTACAACAGGAGACCAGCCTGGCTAAACAGCAATCTCTTCAATGAGCTGAATCTCAAAAATGAGTCCTACAAAAAGTGGAAACCTGGACCTATTGTTAGGGAAGAGCATAAGACAGCAGTAGCTATAAGTACCGTCTTTTATAAAGAGGATGCAGATAGGCCTTTCTCTGTGGCTAACTGGGCAGTATTAGGAAGACCAAAGCACAATTTGAGATGCAACTAGCAAGGGGATTCTACAAGTATGTCAAAAGTAAGAGGAAGACCAAAGAAACCATAGGTCCCTTGTGGGATGCATAAGGCAATCAAGTTGAGGATACAGAGAAGGCTGAAGTATTTAAGGCCTTTTTTACTTCAGTCTTCAAAAATGAGGAATGAGACAAACAGCCTAAGGTAGTGGAAGAACAGGTTAGAGATTACTCAGAGAAGCTACATAATTTCAAGAAAGCAGGGCTGAATTGGATGCACCATAGGATACTGACAGAACTGGCTACGGGAATGCCAGAACCACTGGCTATCCTCTTTGAGAACTGGTGCGGATCAGGTGAAGGCATGGATGATTGGAAAAAGACAAATATAATGCCTATCTTTAGGAAAGGAATTAAGGGGGATCTGGAGAATTACACACCAGTCCATCTGACCTTGATACCCAGAAAGATCATGAAAAAGGTTGTCAAGGAATCTATTGTAAAGCACCTAGAGGAGAGCAAGGCAATCAGGAGCAGCCAGCATGAATTCACTGAGAGCAAGTCATGCCTAACTAACTTGATTTCCTTCTATGATAAGGTGACAGATTCTGTGGATGGGAGAAGAGCTGGGGATGTGATATACCTTGACTTTAGCAAGGTTTTTGACACTATCTTTCATGACATTCAATTAACAAGCTAAGGAAGTATAGTCTAGATAAAGGTATCGTAAGGTGAATTCATAATTGGTTGGATCATTATTTTCAATGAGTAGTCATCAATGGCTAAATATCTAGTTAAGAGGAGGTATAAGTGTGGTTCCCCAGGTGCCTGTCTTGGGTCCTGTATTGTTTCGCATCTTCATTAATTATTTAGATGATAGGATTAAGTGTACACTTAGCAAATATGTGGATTACCCCAAGTAGCTGAAGTTGCAGACACTCTGGAGGACAGGATCTAGAATGACCTGAATAAGCTGGAGAACTGATCCAAAATTGATCAAATGAAATTCTGGAAGAACAAATGCAAAGACCTGTGTGCGGGCCGGGAGCGGTCCGAGGCCCTTTTTTCGCGCGGCGGGCTGTGGCCAGCAGCCCAGACACGCCGGGTCGGGGAAGACAGGCGGCACGCTAGAATTAGGCACGGAAGCTTAGTGGTTGATTAAAGATTATTTTACTTACACCAAAGATGGTCGCGGTGCAGGCAGGAAAACTTGCTTGAGTTGCAGTTACAGACAGAAAAGAAGAGAGGCGGACTAGAGTTCCTTCCCGTGAACCTTCTAGCCCATCCGGTTGAAGGCTCTAAACCGCGAGCCCGTCGTGTCAACCAAAGAAAGTAACTCGAAGCAGAGAGCTCTGAATACACTCACACGAAGTTTGCTAGGCTCCGTGGAACTTGCGCGCAGGGAAGGGTACGTCGAGGGATCAGGCGACGACAGGGAGAGGCGAGAGGCTGATCAGACCCCTATAGCCTTCTTGAGATGCACGCTGGGTCCGATAGGCTCCGCAGCGCTTAGAAATCTTCATGAGACGTGAAGTTCTCTTCCTCCTGATAGTCATGGAGTCCTCCAACTTGGGCGGAAACCGCTCAAGCCTCTTATACGGCTAGCAAGCCAATCGCTAGCCGCCACGTGGGAATAATTTAGAACTGGCCAATAGTGGGACACACATCCACATACGAATGGCGGGAACTCCTTGCACCATGCATTTCTCTTTTTGTAACTAAGAAATGCACCCTGCAAAGAAAGCTACGAGTGGCAGGAAATAATTTAGCAGTGCCGAAGCACACACAAACAAAAATCACACCCTTGGGTTGTGACAACCTGCACTTGGGACAGAACAGAACATAATGTAAATACAGACTGAGGAATGATTGGTTGGGCTGCAGCCGTGCAGAGGAGGGTCTGGGGGTTACTGTGGACCATAAGCTGAACATGAGCCAACAGTGTGCTCTTGTTGCCAAAAAAGCCAGCAGCATACTTGGTTGTATTGACAGAAGTTCTCTTGCAAATTAAGGGAAGTGATTCTTTCACTATATTCAGTATTGGTAGACCTCTTCCAGAGTACTGTGTCCAGTTTTGGGACCCACACTTCAAAAAGGATATGGACAGATTGGAAAGACTCTAGCAGAGTGTGACAAAAATATTAGAGTACTGGGAAGCATGATTTATGAAGACAGGCTGAAAGAACTAGGATTATTTAGTCTGGAGAAGAGAAGACTGGGGTGGGGGGGAGGCAGTAACAGTCTTCAGATACCTGAAAAGCACTTATAAAGAGGATGCAGATAGGCTTTTCTCTGTGGCTGCATGGGACAGAAGCAATGACCTCAGACTGCAGCAGAGGAAATTTAGGTTGGGGATTAAGAAGAACTTTCTGACCCTGAGAGTGGTCAAGTACTGGAATATTGGAGACATTGTAGACTCTCCATCCCTAGAAATCTTTAAGAGCAGTTTAGACAGACACTTGGCTAGGATGGTTTAGTCAGGTATGATGCTGCCTTGAGTAGGGGCCTGGACTTAGGTGACCCTTTCTAGCCTTACAGTCCTATGATCTTTTGATCATAGAAAGCTATTCATGGACTGTGCTCCAGAAAAGCTTGTTTCCTCTCCTCCTAATTTCTTTACTGTTAGAACAGTAAGGCAGTAGAACAGACTGCCTAGGGAAGTTGTGGACTGTCCATCACTGGAGGTGTTAAAGAAGAGGTTGGACAGCCAGTGGTTGGGGATGATCTAGGCCTATGTTGTACTATAAGTATTTCCCATACTCCTGGGCTTTGCTGGTTGCCCCTTGCTCCTCCTGTGTTTCCTTAGGGTATTTTTAAGTCTTCCCTGAAGGCATTAGTTGTTGGCTGTAACCAAGACTGAAGATTTTGACTGGGGTGGGCTCCTGCTGGGACTTAAAGTCAGAGGTACTTGGCTCCTACTCAGACCAAGCACCATGTTTTGGGGCAGGGAGGAATTTTACTCCTTGGTCAGATTGGTATGGACCGTGAGGGTTTTTGCCTTCTTCTGTAACGGGGGGTTGTGGCCCTCTACCTGGGATCTCTTGAAGCAGGACATTGACTGTCATGGTTCCCCTTCTTTACCTGTGGCAGGTTTTATGTCTTTTGTCAGGGTTGACAGTAGTTATACAACAAATTTAAATTATGTATTGTATAGGATGGTTTGGATGGGGATGATTCTGCCTCAGTTAAGGGGTTGGACTGGATGACCACTTTACATCCCTTCCAGCCCTGCTTCTCTATGATTTCTGTGAGTCTTCTTTGTAATGAAGTGGCTTTGTATTTACAGTCACATATTACAGTGAAATGCTTTTGAGTGGAATAGGTACTGGTTTCCCTCACCAACCACAGGGTTAGGTTCTTGAAAGTTCCTGTGGTTGGCAAAACCGGCAGGGCTGAGGGAGCAGGAACTGTGGGTGGGGGGTGAGGGGTACCAGCAAAGCTGTGAGGGTTGGAGGGGGGGAAGGGAGAGTGAAAGGCATGAGCCAGGGGGCCCATGGGGGTATTTTCAGACTGTAGGTGAGTGAAACCTGTATAAATTAGAGTTATAGGTATAAGTCTTCATTTCTCCTTTGCACATTCTCTAGCTTTTATCAGCCTAAGTCTAGTTCATTCATCAGCATGTTTTCTAAGCACCAAGTAAAAGCAAACAGATCTCCTTAGCCTTATCATATGGTATATGAGCATTTGTTTTAATGCTTGTTGTTGTTAATTGACAGATTCTCTGAATGGATCTTGGAAGGAAGGAGGATTTGTGCCTTCCAGTACCAGCAGCAGTGGATACTGGAGCTGGAGTGCTCCAAGTGATCAGTCTAATCCATCCACCCCATCTCCACCTCTGTCTGCCGATAGCTTCAAACCTTTTCGAACACCTTCCCAGCCAGATGATGGTATTGATGAAGCTGAAACAAGCAACCTTCTCTTTGATGAACCCATCCCTAGGAAGAGAAAGGTTAGCCTCATGTTAGGTTCCATACAACTGTATCCCAGGGATGTTGTTAGACTGTGAAGGGGAGGATAAGGACAAAAGCCAGCATGAGCAGCTCTGTAGAGAATTTCAACAGAGGCAAAATCTCGCCATGGCACCCAGCTAACATGCAGATCCACATACCATGTTCCCAGGGACCTAACCCAACTGAATCCAGTCCCGTAGTACACCCACTTCCTGCCACACCACTTTGTTTCTGGAAGAAGGCCAGGGTGTGTATAGGTCCTGCTCAGAGAAGCAGCAACATTCTCTACAGATGGTGTTGCCTCTAGCCTCTCAGGGGATTTCTGTCCAGCTTTGGCTAATTCCTTTGGTACAAGATGACCTGAGCAGCCTCTGCCCTCCCTCCCTGCCCCACCCCCTGCTTTTGCTAGTACCTTGGCAGGATTTGACCCCATATTTCTAGTTTGCTGAAATATGAAATTCTTAGTCTGACAGCATTATCAGGTGCCTGCATAATGTGAAACAGTCTCTGAACACACATTCAGGAGGAATAAAATCTGATAGTTTCCAGTATAGTGTCATTGACCAAATTAATCCCTGGTGGAACTCCCCTGTAACCAGGAATACTCCACCAGGAATAAATGTGCCTCACTCACTACTGAATAAATGAAACTAAACAAAATGATTCAGAATGTATATAATTCTATCCTCCCCCCCCACACACACCCCCTATCAATATGCCAGCAAGCAAATGCCTCTTGAAGAAAAAGAAAACAAAGAGATGGCAGTAGTCCAAGCTTTTCTCACTCCTAACGCAACAGGACAGGTTTTATATAGCAAGATGAAAAAGGGCTTTCTGTAAGGAAGAGAAAAACAGGGTATTTATTCATCTTTAGTGACTTTGTTTCTGGCTCAGACTGAGAGAGTTAATTGCTTCATGACCAGCAGGAAGAAGTTTTAATGATTGTTTAAATCTGATCAGATTTATCTTGTTTGCTACAAAAGTTGTTCATTTGATAACCCACAACTGCTCTTGCTTTTGCTTTAGACATCACTTATGGGAGGGTAATATAAAATAGTGTTGCCTGTTGGATGAAAGGCTATAGAGGTGCATTTATTGGAACATATTACAAGTTAGATAGTTATTAAAATAAATCCAGTAATTATTTAAGGAACCAGGGAGGGAGTGGAAATTCTGGTATGCTTTTCACTACCTTGTTAAAATTGTATGTATCATCACTCAGGCAGATGATTTTAGAGATGCCATGTTTATTGTTACCTAGGTTGTCTTTTTGGAGAGTACAGACATCTGATTATTCAGGCATTTTATATGAGCCGAGGAACTGCGATGGTGCTTGTAATTTTCGGTCTGTACAACAAACATCAGATTTGCATAAGAATAATAGAATGTTCTGCAAGTGAATGCCACCACCTCCCCACTCTCCAAGTCTTTTTACTCAGGTCCCTGGCTAGTACTTGTCTTACTGTGATCTTGGAAAAGATACTTCCTACAAGCTATTGGTCTTTCATGTTGTCATTTCATAAAACAAAACTGTAACGATAAAGAGTGGCTGGTAACATTACCAAATCAGTTAATGTCAAATTACCTCTGCTTCAGAGGGTTGTGATTTGGAAAATGTCACATGTTCTACCACCTCTTGCGAAGAAAGTTGAATATATGTTTAACTTTTTACATTAATTCAGTTATTTCCTATCAAATATATTTAATATTTGAAGGGGTTTGTTATGACTGCTATTTTTATGATAAAGCACTGGAGAATGACAAAGGAATTGCCTGAGCATTCTTGTTTCACTAAATTTGGAGAAGGTGAATTACTAGATAACCAGATAACAATCGTTTCTATAGAAATGGACTTAACCTGGGGAAAGTGGTACTTTCCTGAAAATAGGCAAGATTTCATGGGATTTGATTTCAAACTAACTCTTGGTTTTTTTCATACTCCCCTTGCTTACATCTGGTTATCTATATCAGAACACTGAAAACATAGAATAATAAATCTAAATAGGGATATGGATCAGTGGGGTGTAGTCCTTAATAATTAGCACTGTTTGTACTTATAGCCTTATTTTCTTAAGATGCCAAGCCTCATCAGGTCCTGCTAATATCAAGAAAAGCTGCAGGTTTATGCTTTTTTGAAATTCAGATCATTTGAACACTTGGGTGCTTTGAGCACTTAAGGGTCAAATTCTCCCTTTGCAGTCTGCCTCACAACTGAAGTCAGTGGGCTGCAAGGGCTTTAAAGGGTATTTGAATCTGGCTTTCATTATTGGTTTTCTTTCAAAATTATTTTAGATGTGTTTTTTGTGCCAAAGAGATCCCATGCTCCTCTAGCAGTTAAGGTACTTTTATTGGGGCTGGCAGAAAGGAAAAGTCCCTGTCAAGTACAAGAAAAGTATAGTGGATATGATTTATTTTAAATCACATTTCTTGCACATCAATATTTATGGTCTGTGTTGTAATGCCAGTGAGAAATGATGTGGTAATTAAACCTACCACAGGCAAAAAAGGGCTAGTTATCATCTTCTCATGGTAAATGCTGTTCCCAGAGCTTGTTCTTCTGTAATGTTCTTAAAGAGCAATTACACAGACTGGTATAAAAAGGGTTCCCTTACATCTTGCAGTCCCCAACATCTCCAGTCCAATAATCAGGTGTGTGTCGCTTGCAGAGCCTAACCTGGTGGTTACAGTCTCTTGTCACTTTTATTTGCTCTATTAATGTTTTCACTGGAGAGTTAACTCAAGGGACTCAATCCAATTTGTGCAGACTGGTTTTTTTGGCTACCTCCTTTATTCAAGGCATTTGAACATAAAATTATCAAGAATTGGCAAGTCCCCATTGCTGAATGTCTGTACTGCTCCCGCTCCCAGAATCATTTCTAGTTGGTGAAAATTTCCCACTGCTAGAAATGAATGTTTGTACACAGCCATAGGGGACTATTGTGATCATCTAACCTGACCTCTGCATAACTCTGGTCCTAGGACTTACATGAATTAATTCTTGTTTGAATTGCATCATATCTTAGAAAAATATCCTTCCTGACTTCAAGATTTCTACCAAAGTAAAACTATCCCTAGCTCTTAGTAAATTGTTTAAATAGCTAAGTTACCTCACAGTTTGGTTTTTATTTTTGGTCTGAATTTGTCTAGCTTCAGCTTTCAGTCACTGGATTTTTCCGTGCTAGAAAGAAGTGCCTATTATTGACCACCTAGGCTGCAATGCTAGAGAAAAGGAGCTGGGTATAATAGTCAACTACAAAGTAAATATGAGTCCATACTGTACCATTGTTGTAATAAAAGCAAACAGTTTACTGGGATGTATTAACAGAAATGCCATGGGAAGTGATCTTTCCATTGTGTTTAGCACTGGTGAGGCCTTAGATGGAGCACTGTGTCCAGTTTTAGGCACTGCACTTCAAGAAGGACATAGACAACTAGGAGTGGAGAGCAACATAAATGGTTAGAGGTCTTGAAAACATGACATATTAAAATAGGTTGGAAGAATTGGGGTTATTTAGTTTGGAAACGAGAAGACTGAGGAGTGATTTGATAATCCCTCAAATACAAAAAGGTTGTTATAAAGGGGATGGAGAATCAGTTGTTCTCCACAAAAACCACAAGAAGTACTGAACTTAAGGATCAATTAGGGAGATCTAGCCTGAATACTAGGAAGAACTTTTCAACAATGGAGGTGGTCAAGCATTGGAACAAACTACCTACTGAAGTTGTAGAACCTCTGCCACTTGAGTTTTTAGCTGTAGGATAGACAAACATTTGTCTGGGATAGTTTGGAGAGGACTGATCCTGCCTTGAGCGGGGAGTTGGACTGGATGACCTACTGAAGTCTTGCCTTACTTTTTTTTTTTTTTTTTTTGAGGTTAAGTTTTGTCTCCACGAAGGTATTTACAAGGCAAGTCTATACAAGACGCTAACTGCTCAGTAGCCTACTAATACTGTGCCATAGTGCATCACAGCACAAACGGTGTTAATACGCTACTGCACAATATTATTAGGCTACTGCACAGTAGCATCACTAAAAAGTTGTTTTTAGTGATGCTACTGCCACTTTTTCAGTGTGTTCTAATGCAAGCATTCACCTTGTATCAAATGTACATAGTAGTAGAATGAGTTAATTATCCTGAAAAACAGCATGTGTTTCTGTATGACCCCAATTAAAGAAAGCAAGAGGGTGGGATATTAAATATTTTTTTACTCAGGACAGCACTTGGGCACGTGTTTGACTTGAACTGTATGCATAAGTGCTGTTTTGAAGAATATGCTTTTTCTGATTTGGGGCCTATATGAATACATTCATTTAATCTTACTTGAAACTAGATATAATAACAGTAACATATCATAACAATGATTGAATGCAAGTCTCTTCCTCTTCTTTTAGGGGATAATGTACAGTTTTATAACAGAAAATACTTTTAGAGAAGTACAGATTAAAGTATGTGGATTCCATTTTTTTAATAATATAGAAATAACATAGGGTGAATAGTTAGCTTTCATTTCCACATTTGACTGGGCTAGTCTTATAAGGTACATAATACTCTTAAATTGCCAGTCAAGATTATTGTATGTTTTGCTTTAGATGAAACTAAAGGCATTTGAACATATTTTTCAGAGACTGTAAAATATGAAAGGTGGGAAGACTGATTCAGCACTCGCTTCCACAAGCATAAATCAGTAATCACTTAATTTAAGCTATTGGAGTTACACACATACAAGGACATGGCCCCTCTCAGAAAAAATTTAAACCAGTATTGTGCATATGTTTAAAAAAAAATCCTGCAGTATGTATGATTGCTACATGGAGGATGGAGGACCTTTGTCATAGCAGGCGTCATGATTTCATGAAACTATCTTTCTTTCTTTGCCAGCAATGAATGGAGGAAGATGGTTCTTAGAAAGTATTTAACTTAACGTTGGGTATGCTTCTACAGGGAATGCAGGACACCATCCTTTTCTCAATTAATTCAACTGAAAGAGTCTTTAAAAATAAAGTTAAAAATACATTAAGTATATATATTATCTAGCTTTTTTGGCAGATACATATAAATAGAAGAGATTTGCAAAAGAATAAAGAGGTGAATTTCTCATTGCAGTTCCTCCAGTATAAATCCAGAGGAGCTCTACTGAATTCAGAGGCATTACCTTAAGGTTAAAAGTCACTCTGGATTTCTACCAGTATAGCTGAAAGGAGAACTTGGTGCAATTTACTGTGCAGCAACACTTACTGAACAGCTGTGTATGTCTATTTGTTTCCATCTTGAATGTGAATGAGTGATAAAAAAAAAAAATTAATCTACTTTTTTATACTTATTTAGAATTCCATGAAGGTGATGTTCAAATGCCTTTGGAAGAACTGTGGAAAGGTACTGAGCACAGCTGCAGGGATTCAGAAACACATCCGGACCATTCACCTTGGGTAAGAGGCCAGCTGTTTGCAAGCCACAAGCAATTTAGTACTGATTGGGGTTTACTGAATTTGCCCAAATTCAGTATGACTTAGAATCTAAGACACCCCCCCCAATAATTAGATTATTTACATAGAAAATGTATTAATTTATTATACTTCTCTTTGTACAGAATCTAATTATTGGGGGGTCATCTTAAATTTCACGCCTAGTTTTCATTCAAAATGCTGACTGGAGACAGTGTATGTAACAGCCATTGGAAGACATATGACTGCAATAAAGAGCAGCACCCAATAGAGAAACTTGAGCTAGTTTGATTGGAAGTAGTGCAGCTTCATAAGCATAGCATTGCACCTGGGACATTACCACTACTGAGTGCTGCACTGATGCACTTATACAGGTTCTAGAACAGGGGTGGGCAAAATGTGGCCTGGGGGCTGGATGCGGCCCGGCAGGCCATTCTGTCCGGCCCGCAGGGCCCCTGAAAAATTTAGAAAATAAATATTTATCTGCCCTGTGCTGCCTGTCATGCAGCCCTCGATAGCTTGCCAAAACTCAGTAAGTGGCCTTCTGCCCGAAATAATTGCCCGCCCCTGTTTCATAGATTTCATAGACATTAGGGCTGGAAGGGACCTCGGAAGATCATCAAGTCCAGCCCCCTGCCCAAAGGGCAGGAAGTCAGCTGGGGTCATAGGATCCCAGCAAGATGAGCATCCAGTTTGCTCTTGAAGGTGTTCAATGTGGGCGCTTGAACCACCTCCGGTGGCAGGCTGTTCCAGACCTTGGGGGCTCGGACAGTAAAGAAATTCTTCCTTATGTCCAGCCTGAAAC